AGTTTCAATGGCACGATCTTGGCTCACGGCAACCTCTGCCTCCCGGATTCAAGTGATTCTCCTGCCTCAGCCTCCTAAGTAGCTGAGATTACAGACATAAGTCACCATGCCCTGCTAATTTTGTATTTTTAATAGAGACAGGGTTTCACCATGTTGACCAGGCTGGTCTCAAACTCCTGACCTTGGGTGGTCCACCTGCCTCAACCTGCCAAAATGCTGTGATTACCGGCATGAGCCACTTTACCTGACCTGGCTCAGTCAACTTTTAATTTACCCCATAATTTGCTCAAGCTGAGAACTGGTATTCCTATCCAACAGGTGTATAAATGATTTGTATTTTTAAAGTTAAAATTTTTCTTTCTATTATGAACACTACTGATTGACCACATGTCTAAATATTGTCATATTGAAGATTCTGTGTGTCCACTTATGATTTTAGAACATATTTGTGTAGGAGCAGGTATATTTCAAATCACTTGAAATTGTAGCTATATGTTAATTAACATTGATAATTAACCAAATCGTAATTTAAACTACTAGAAACAATTCACTAAAAGCAATTTTAGTTTTATTATGTTAAATATACATAATATTATGGTTTTTTAAAATTTAGCTTAAGATACTTTGAAAATCTACCTATAGGATTACATATTTTGGCGACTTTATATTTGTATATATAACTTAACTTGAATATGTTCTTTAGGTTATTTTAATAAAAGTTAGAAATATTTCTGTCTAATTTCTATCAACTCAGCTATTCATTCGTTTTCTAATACTTTGTATTTAAATGATAAAAATTGTCATCTTTGTATATAAATTCCACAACTTGTTATTTAATTTCCTACTGGTTGGAATATCTTAACAGCTGGCATAGAAAACTTTTTTGTGTGTGCCTTGGGTTGGAAATTTTTACAAATGGAAAAACTAACAAAATATTTTCCAGTCTAACTAACTAGATGCTTATCCCTGAGAAAATCTTTACAACTTTACTTTGAGGCTGTAAGATTCTTTTCCTTTCGATTTATCAAAATATTTATCTGATCCCTTATAATACTGAAGCTTCAGGATATGAAATTTTCTTGCACCTTCATTTCCAGGCTATCACAGTAATGTGGGTTTTAAAAGATGAAAAGGGCTAAAGACCAAACTCAGACTTATGATCAAAACAGAGAAAAAACAACTATAAAATAATGAATGAGATCACTATTTAAATATGCTCCAATTCTTTCAT